TCACCCACAAGTGACACCTGCTTAGCCATATCTCTTAGGAAAAAAACTAAAATAGGTAACTAAATTTTTTTTTTTTTTTTTTTTTTTGAGTTGGATTGAATATTGAATTCAAGACATCTACATTTTTTTTATATTTATACTGTATGTAATGACAGCTAAAAATGAGTAAAGCGTCTGGTTATTACGGTCAATAACAAAATGAAAGTCAGGTTAAAGATTTTAGGTTGGGTGCTAAAAGCAACTCAACAAACTTAACATCATTAAGTTTACCTAATCAACATGCTAAATGCTTGTACTGGATATGCATGACTGTTCACATGCGCAGTGAAGTGAAAATAACAGACATGATTCAGAGTGATCCTGAGATAAGGAACACATGGGTGTTACATGTGCTGCTGTTATGCTTTCAGTTTTCAGTTGTTATTTAACTTGCCATTATCATTCACACACAAGCATGGCTAGATTTTTATTGACAGTTCCAGATCTTAGGGTAAATTGGTATCATGTAACAGTCCAGTGCACCACATGACCCAGGTGCAAACAGTTCAACTAGGTGCTCTGGGGTGAGAAAGTATTAGAGGCTCTATACCAACTCATTTATTTGTGCAGTAAAACTCTCCTTAGCTTAAATGGTCTCATGTGATGTTCTCCACTGAAGGGTGGAAAAGACATTAGACATTAGATATTTTATTTTTATTAAAATGGAATAAGGATCCTCAAATTAAACCTTAACATTATGGAGAATAGCACAGGCAACAATTTATCTGTAATTTATTGTCCATAATAAACCCAGTTCTCTAAAATAAAATCATATGGCCCATGACGGTTTTATTGGTGGGTTACAATGCACAAAAGGGAGATTAAGGAATATCATTTTTACACCACGTCTAATATAAGACAGTGTTTCTTTTTTTCCCAAAGGTTAAGGCACTAAATTGGATCCATAAACCAAACAGAAAAAAGTCTATTGAAATACTAACAGAGCATGTTGCATTTGCTTTCAGAACAAAAGCTCCCAAATCAATGAGTGTCTTCTTGTGACACAAATGTGCAATAGGTTTTGAACATAAGGCTTAGAGGGTGTAAAGCTCATTAGTTAGTTTCTCTACTGAGGCGGATTCAGGCATGACTTTGGGATTAAACGGCTTTTGGAATGCTATTGTCTAAGCAGCCTCTAAAACTGAAGGAACACTTGGAGGGGACCAGGTCTTTCTATGCATACAAACTCTAAAGATACGGATAACTTGTTCTTGTTTGACAGAATTAGGAGAGTGTCTCGAAATTAATGAACTGTAGTCCATTAATCTGTTCTTGATTATGCTTGTCTATATATAGATATTTCATTAAACATGGGCATCATACTTCTGACTTTCTCTCTTCAAACAGTGTATCGTTTAGATCCTATATTGGAATTTAGACTGTAGAGCAGGGATTTTATTTTTGCATTGAAATATATAAAACAATAAAAGTAAAATTGATTTAAATAATGTAAACATTTAAAAAATACATTATAATTAAACATACTATATGTTAAATATATTATAGTATGTTGAATTATTTATAAATGTCAAAAAAATAAATTGGATATAATATAGTTGGATATATAATATATAATATAGTTGGGTATATAATAACCTTTACTTTTGGCCCACGGCTCTCAATCAAGTTTGATTTTTGGTTCTTTGTATTAAAAACTTCGGGCACCTCTTCTGCAGAGGAATATGAGGTTATGTGCCTTTCTCAAGAGCACAATGGTCACGTTCTCACATCACACACTGGATGCTTTGCTAAGACAAAACATCTCAAACATGCATGCAAGTAATGATGGCCACAGTAGGATTAATTAATGACCGTGTTAATGGGCCCATTAAACAAATGATCATATCAACCAATGGTGCTGCTTTCTTGTGAACACATATGCATTATAATTGAACTGGAATGGCTTGTATTTAGAGTTGAGATGTTTAAAATGCATGAAGCTCTGATCAAGATTGCAATTAATTTTGACATTATTACCAGGCTGTTGAATTTAAAGCAGGTGTTCTTTTCATGTTTATCTTCCAGAACATGTTTTGACTCTCTTGTCCCCTCCATCTATCAGGGCAGCATCTATCTATCGAGACTCACAATGAGATCATTCTTAGAGGTAACTTTCTCAAATAATAATTTACAAACTCATAGTGATAAGAAAATATGCCTCCCCTTTTGGATAAGCAGCTCAAAAAGCGTCATTTTTTACACTTTTCCAGTGAAAGGTTGAGCATATGCATCTGACGGATGATTATACATGATAACATTTTACATATCTCTAAGTTCTGGTTTATTTACACAATGTTTTGAGATCAAACTCACTGTCAACTGTCTCTCAGCAGGCGAATTGGTTTGGACGTGCAGAACGTGAAGATTATTTGGCAGCAGTGAACACAGACTCGTCTTATCAGCACTCCTAGGATTTAATTGCTGCTCATTTTTTCTTGTTCTGTTTTATGCACTTAAATTTGACTGCGGACAAAACTGACACATTCATTGGTATTTAAGTTACAATGTGAACATTTAACAAATACTAACGATTGCATATCAAATTATAACTCACAAATGGAATCATACTTTTTACTTAGAAATTGATTTTTTTGCCCTGTAAATCCTTTTTATTTTAGAGACTTTCAACTTCTACTGTCACCTCATTAGGATGATGCTCATGTATCACTTTAACTATTTAACTTTGTAATTGGTTAAATTTATTGTGTCACAACTCAATACAGCTCATATTATTGCTAAGTGTTGGTATAAATTACATGTGCATGAAAAATGTGTGACACGGGCAATACAGTGTAAAGTATCACCAACCCTGTTTATCTCAATCAGTGCATGGTGTTAATGGATGTTCGAGCACGCACACTGCCTTTAAAACCCCGTGAAACGTGATTCCATGTTTTGCTTACTCTTGCCGTGAATAGAAATAGCCGCAATGAGGTAATGTGTGCAGCGGTGTTGCTCCATGCGCGCGGAAGGCGATTGGTCGCGCGCTTCAACTCCACGTTTTGCACGAGCCCAGTTCCAGACTTTTGCGGCAAGCCGTTTCAACATTTATCCATTACACGTAATGTCTATTTACTAGTTAATATTTTAATTACTTACACTGTAACATATTGTAAATAAAACAAAGATTGTTGGAGTATGCTTTACAATAAAATACTAATTCATGTTTATTCAGTGTGTTACTTAGGCATACTTCTTTCTTTTTACTGTTTACTTGCTTCAGTTTATTAGCGATTTCTGTACTTTCCAAATTTATTTCAGTGTAAGTAATAGTATTTAGCACTTTTTTGCTAGAAAGGTCTACTAGTAAGCTACTTATTTTATAGATACTACTACTTATTTCAATACTGACTAGTATCTATTCAATTTAATTTTATTCTAGTTTCAATACTTCTACTACTTATTGATTAGATAAATAATTAGAAAGCTTGATACTTTTCACTAGGCCTATAATTTTTATCTCACTAGTTACAGTTGCTTTTTTCCTTGTCAAATTTGGGGGTGTTTACACAACACCATTTTCAACTAAAAACGGAAAACTTTTTATGTTTTGGTCATTCATTTACACAACAACAGCGATTTGGCTGTCTGAAAGTGCAAACTTTTGAAAACAGGTTTCAAAATGCAAGTTTTCGAAACCGATACCATTATCGTCTCAGTGTAAACTACAAAAACGTGAATTTGTGAAAATGGTGATGTCATTTGCATGCTTATTACATATTCAATAGGTATGTGCACAGGCTGTAGTGTTTCTCTGCTAAGCGACATCGCAAACTACTGGCCTGGCATGCATAATACAGCATTTAATTGCTACTACACTGAAAAAAAAAACAGTGTAGAAAACGTGGTCACAAACAATTACAAAGAAACAGCAAGTAACACATTGAAATTTTAAAGTAGAAAGAAAAAAAGGATTTTCTTGTAAAACATTTCTTGCATAAAATCTTGTGAAATTGTGAAATATTATTTTTTACAGTGTAGGAATACTGGAACACCTATCTATTTTGAAACAGATTCAGGAAAACCGGAAAATGTAAGTACAACCTCCAAGGAACAACTAGTAAACCTGCTTTCCTGAAAGTAGTTAAAGGTACAATATGTAAAGATTTTGTAATAAAATAT